CAGGGCCCCGGGGGGCGGCAGGGCCGCGGAGGGCGGCAGGGCCCCGGGTCTCTCCGTGAGAGCTGGGAAGGGATTTCAGACCTGTACGGCTGTTACAGCAACAGCGAGTCACGCATCAAAGCTGAGATGTAGAAATCCAAAGCTTTCTAAGGAGAAAAAGGTCTCCCCTTGGGCTGACCCGGGAGTACTGGGAGCTGGCGGGCGAGGGGCGAGCGAGGGACCCGTCCGAGCCCTCCTTTGGCGCTAGCGCGTCAGCAGCGACAGTCCCTAGCTGTTAGTCAAAAGTGCCGTCATCTAACGCAGTGAAGTGGAAGAATATGAAGCGCTGGTGCCACCGATGCGTTCTCGCCGGATGATCGTCCCCGTGGTTTCTTTGCAAAAATGTAAAAACCTGGTTGTGGTGCGGCACAGGGGATATTACAGAAATTACCGTCAAATGTGGCTGCTGCACAGCGAATATGTTGTCGTTGGAGAAACGCCGATTCCTCGGGACCTCTGAAGATAGATGCGCAGCACCACTGCCTAATCTTTACACTAAACTTTCTAAAAGAAACGAAAAAAAGTCAACCAAAAATCCTACTGAAAAACCTCCGAAGGAAAGAGTCACGTGTTTGGGGTTTTTTTCCCCCTTTTTTTTTTGTTTTAAAGCGTATGGCCAGACATTTGTTTTGAGGACAAAGCAAACCAAATATTAATAGTACTTTATGCTTGCTTGTTTTGTGAGCAATACGGTGTTTTCACACGTAGCATCTCCTCCCAGGTGACCCTGATGCGCTGCTCGGTGCCAGGGGTAGAACTCGCTCTGCACTGGGAGCCGATCCCCCACCTCGTTCGGGCACTGGTGTTGGACAAAGCTCCCTCCAGGCATTTCCACCCACCGGTACCTGCTGTGGTGGCCAGCAAAGCATCAGACTCTTGCATCCCCAAAATGCAGCTGGGGCCCCAGACCCCACAGTGAACCATCCAGGGGGAAGATGAAGGCGCGGAGCTGCAGCTACAGGGAAAGCCCCAGACGTGCAGGCTGTAACCCCGGGGCTCAGACTCACCCGTGCTTTAGGGTTAATATCCCCACTCGCTCATAAAGAGCCCTGGTACCAGCGAGTGCTGCGATACAGCCCTCCCTCTCATGACTCTCAAAAACTGTCCTGGATCCAAATTAACGCTTTATTTCTATATAACACCTGAAAAACCACAGCAGAGAGGCGCCGTAGAAATAAGCATATTATGCAGCCAGTCAGAAGACAACGTTCATCATGTAAAGGCCTGGCTGTTTAATGGTCTTTCTCATGCCTCTTTAATGGTTTATGTTGGGTTTTTTTTAATTTAGAAAGGGCAGATGTAGAGTTACCAGATATACATGATCTGATGTAGAGATATCTTAAGTCTGATATACACAATCTAATCTTGTGGGGTGTGATCCAGCCATGAACAAGTAAAACGTCCTTTCACTTCAGTACTGCCTGCATACAGTTTAGTTTTCACATCAGTTCAAAGGTGCTATGAAAAAATCCATTTTGCTCACCTGGTTAGCGCGTTCCCTTGTATTGCTCACTGAAGTCAGCATGCCGTCTCACAGGCAATCCAAAGCTGTTACTGATAAATACAATACTGTATAAAAACTTTTTATAACTTTGCTGTTGCCTCTCTCTAATACTCTCTTGCTCCTTTTCTATTCACCCAGCACCGTTCCTCTGCTGAAATACAAACGCTTCTAGCTACAGCCAACACTCAGGTAAATGCATATTTCGTTCAGAAACACCTGTCAATCTCTACAGACAAAATTGCTGTAACATCAGCACAGTATCATCACATCAGGATCACCTTCTCTATGCTTTGTGGATGATAAGTACAAGGCTAACGGCACCTTGTTACAACAAAACTCTGTTAAAACGATCTTGGCACCTATCTGGCTTTATCTCTACTTGCAGGGGCATCGCGTCCTGCACAGCATCAGCACTGCCCGCAGCACCCCAGGTTGTCACCTCTGCACACCCGAAGGCCATGTGCACAGATAGGTCAATTTAACTCAGAAGCTAATTGTTAAGATAGTAAACCAACCCCCTCTTCCTTACCTTCATAAGTGGCTTCGCGTACTGCACATGGCATCTTCCAATATGTTAATTCCCTTCCATTGCATCTCTGGCGCCCAGCTCCCAGCTTTGCATCCATCGTGCTGAGCTAAGGCCGATAGCAGAAGGACTTGATCCAGCTCTGTCTTCCTTAGGTAATTTCACACCACCCCTATTGGTGGTGGCATCCTGCAAGAGCCTGAGGACCCACACCTGCAGGGAGAAGCTGATGTATTGGCTCCAAATAGGAAGACAACACTCCAGTCCTCCTCGCTTCGGCATGGCTAAAAAGGCATCAGCCTTTCCGTGATGTTTTTCCGCTGGGCTCCCTCTATTAGATGCTTTTTTCCAGGGGGGTTGTGCCAAAAGGCCTCGGGCTGCAGCTGGGCTTACACTGATTTCTTGTGAGAAAGTGCCATCCCGTGGCTACGTGTGAAATCCTTGCTACTTCATGTCTCAAAACGAACATCAGGCAAAGCCAATTCGGACAACCGTACCGTGTGTCATAGTACAGGCACAGTGCAACAAGGGCAATTGCCAACCTCCCACCCTCCCTCCTCCCCTGCTGCCTGGATTTCAGCACCAAATCCGAATTACAACAGTCCAGCTCCCAAATCTCCATTAGTTTTTGGCTTCCTCACAGTTTTACATGGACACTTGGGTTTTATTACCTGTTCATTATTATTCTTTGGGAGACAACTGTTGTTATTTTTCAGTGTGGGAGAGTTTCACAGACTTGCATCTCAAACCAGAAGTGCTGCTGAAAGGACTCTTGAAGTGACCGTGGGCAGGAGTGTCCTGCCTCAAGCCATTAATGCAAGAGAATAACAGATTTCTGGTACACTGGCCCCAAAGTTGGACACCTGGAGAGGTTTTTGTCTTCCCAACTCAAGCCAATTGAAGTCCTGAGCATTAGTGGAAATCAAGCACATGTAGGCACTTTGTCTGCAAAAACAGTGAAAAGGAAACCACTAGCTTTATTTTTATTATTTAACACAAATTAAGTTTTAAGCTGCTTTCCAGCCAGGTGGCCCCAGTGTGTCCTGGTGCCTGGAGCACTTGGCTCTTCCCGTGACTCAACTCCACCAGGTCTCTCAGCCCATTCCCCCAGCCCGCCCAGGTCCCTCTGGTGCATCAGCCAATCCTCCTAGTTTGGTGCCATCTGCCAAATGGCAAAGGTGCGTCCTGCCCCATCACCCACGGTGTTAATTAATGAAGACGTTAAAACAAAATCAGACCCACTATATCAACCCCCTGGGCTGCACTGCTAAGTTGCTGGCCTCCAAGCTGGCTTTCGTGCAGCCTCTGGACTCAGCTAGTTGTCAGTCCACACTTCTCCAGCTTATAAATCCTAATTAATCCACATAAATTCTGATAAGATTTTTTTTATTATTATTCACACACGGTTGAGCCATACGTTGAGCTATATTAGTGTCAAACAGTGCTGGGTCTAGAGTAACAGCAGGTCTAGCAAGATAAATCCAGGAGAGGACTCAGACCTTACCTTGAGAAATAGCTGAATATACCAATAACGTCCCTTAGGAAAACTTACAGTAGAGGTGTATTTTATACTTAGAAACCAGAGGGATCTTGACATGGTGGACTCAGCTGGACCCCAGAATCCTTGGATACTGGCTGTTTGTTGGACTAAGGGATTACCTCAGATAAATGTGTTAAGCCCGAGCTCTGGAGCAGGTATTTTGCCCTCCTCAGTAAAAGAGGTTACAGGTAGGCCTTTGATTTTCCTTAACCAGGCCTTGTTGCGTGCTCTTCGCTGATCTTCTAGGAGCTTTGCCTGGCGTGCCTGACACTGAGCTACTGTAGCTGCCTCATACACAGCCTTCTCTTTTCCTGTCAGAAGCCTGAGCCCACTGGCCCTCCTGGAAGGGTCTGGAGCATATGGACAAAAAGTCTTTTTTCTCCTGGAAACGGCTTCATTTTTCATTTGTGCCATCACCACATGTGTTGATTTGATTGGTTCTGAAGAAGCTGTGAAGGGATTGATAAACTGAACCCCACTTTCAGGGAGAGAAATGACTTTACCATGACCACTGGGAGCTTTCTTTTCTCGCAGCACACCACAAGTCTTGGGACGTACAACAGAGGGAGCAGGGATAGAGGAATTCACAGTGGGTCCATGCAATGAGTTTTTCATCTTGAGCTGGAGCATTTTGGTTTCAAAGGGTACAGAAATTCTTTTCAGAGTCAAAGAATCACTGTGCAATCTTGCACGTTGGAGCCGGACTATCTGATCCTTTCTGTGTTGCAGCGGGGTTTTGAATATTTGTACCTTTTCAGGGCGGTGGTGCTGATGTTCCCATGGAGGCTCCCATGCTTCCCTGACTTTTGCAGTGTGCTTAATGCTGGAGCTGACTTGGGCTGACTTGCAGGCGTTCTGCAGCGTGCCAACCGTTAAGAGGAACTTGTCCGGGGTCATTGGACAACTTGGGCCTCTTCTCTTCTCATGCTGCAAAGCGGCTTCAGATTTGCCATCTGTTTCCAGAAATAAAGCAAACACATTTGGAGTTGAGGATAGTTTTTGCAGTTGTTGTTGGCAGGGTCATACTCTGAGTAAGACCAGGGATGGGTGGCTGGACTGACAGGCATATGGACAGTCCAAGTTTATCTGCAGAACAGGCAGCGTAAGAAGCTACAGGCCAGTGGTGCCCAGTTCAGTTTGTTCATCCTTGGCCTCACCAGTGACACTGCCAACATCAAAGGTAACTCTGTCTTGGTTGACTGAGAAGTGTTCCTTGCCACAGCCTGTACGGGTCAAACTACAGCCAGATGCTGTAACATACATTATATTTGTGTTTGGATAGCTTGGTATCCACCTTGCTTGAAACTCTGGTTTCTAAAAGGAATGAGGTTCCTACCACCTCTTCCCATGCATCCCTTTCTTGTCCTACAGTTCATGCGTTGGGAAAAGGCTTCAAGATGAGTCAGCTCCTGGTAGAAATCTTTGAAGTAGGCAACACCTGAGAACCACTTTGAACCACGGCTGCTCAGAGCTGTGTTTGAATTTGAATCACAAGACAGGCTCCGTAGCCTGGCTTTGCTGCCCTAAGGGATGTAGGGACTGAGCTGTGCTGTACAACAGACACATCAGGATGGGTTGTGCGATTATGCCCTTGGCTAAGAACTAGATGAGGATTATGACACAGATGAGAGCCATAGAGGAGCCATAGCATTACCACTGCAGGGATCTGTTTTACCGCTGCAAACCTTTCATCCAGAATGGGCCTGTCTTCTAGAGATCCTTACCTTTTGTTTAACCCATTCAGTTACTTTAGGTGCACTTGTCTGAAGAATTACTGTCCTACCAAGCCACGAAGAGTCCTTACCGGTACCTGCAAGGATTCTCGCAGAACGTGCTCTCTCTGGCTGTACTGAGGCAAAGGCATGGGGTTGTTGGGCGCCAGCAATGAAAACGTTTTTCTGCTGCTCCGCCTGAATACAAAAAGTCTTCTCCATCTCAAGAAAATACTGCTGTTGCTGGCAAGCTGCTAATTTCGTCAGTTCATAGCAGAGAGCTAGAAAACAGAAGGAAAAAAGTAATCTCTAACCTGCACTGGTGTTAAACTCTTTTTTATTTAATAAAATCTTCATAACTGATGGGATTTCAAATCTTTGGTTACTGTTTCACCTCTTATCACAGCTTCTAAAGGTCTGGGTAATTAGAAATAATCCAAAGGTACTTGTTTGGCAGAAAACCTCACAGAATTCAAAGATGACAGCAAATGATGGGGTTTTTTAAATATTATGTATACACGACCCATACTTTTTTACCACTAGAATTAAAATATGTTGTGCTCCCTATTTGTTGCCTGTTTCTACAAACTGTACGTCTTTTACCAAGTTGCACCAAGGAGGTTAGCATCCGATGGCCTTAAAAGGGTGAAAACTTTCTTAGCCCAGAGTTCATTTGCAATATGCAGTTTGATTGTAGAGCTGGAAGATTGGCGATATGTACTGCCTTAAATAACTGCTGATTTTTAAAAAAAAATAACATCACAATGTTGCAATTGAAAAGGTGCCTGCTTATGTGCAATTGCATTTCCCAATGATGGCAGATCCTGAATGCAGGTGTCCTATAACTTACTGAGAGTATTTGCTAATAAATAATTCAGGCACTGAATCAGCAGCATGTTTCCGCGCACACCAGCTGTAAGAATATGAATAATACTCCTGATTTCTCTATTGCTCAGTTTGAAAGCGACAGCACCTGTCTTGACAAAAATGTGTTGAATTTCTACCAAACCTTTCTGAAAAGTACAAAGGTTTTACAAAAGCCTGGAAGGGACAGGACTATTGAAACACAGCAGCGCATCTACCAGACCGCACTTTGAAAAAAGCAGAGAGCCTGTGCATCGATTCAGATGAAGGCAGTGGGTACTTGAAACTCTTTCTAGAGTTTCTTGAAACATTCTAAAATACAATGCTGGAGTATGCAGAGGCTCTACATAGTACTTTGAGATGCTTCATGGCCTTTCGGTGACTGGTGGTGGATCCAGCACGATGGCGTGAGCTGGTCAGCGTCTTGCGTCTCCAGAGCAAGTTGATGCGTCTGGCTGAGGTCGTGGCGTTTCACTCGCTGGAGTGGTGTTCTGCTTGAGGTCCCGTTGAGCTGTTTTTTCTTCCCCACCATCTTTCGGTCAGCAGCTAAGGTATAGTCCCATCTGACATCCTCAAACTGGAACATCAGCAGACTAGTTGGTGAATTGATCACCATCCTGGAGGAGGGAAGGAGAAGCCACTAAAAGTGCAGATACCATTAGCACAGCAGTTACTACACAAGAGGTCCATACATTTCTCTGCAATACAAAACCACTTAAACAGGTTAAGCTTCAAGGGCATTTAAACAGATGCGAGATAACCATCACTTGTTTAAGGAAGCAACAGGAATTAGTCCCATCAATCAGACCCTGTACATTTCAGCTCGTACTCCTTATGAGCTCGGTGGGGGTCTCTTCATTCAGCCCTATGGCAAAATTAGTTTTAAAATAATCGGCATGCACAATGCCAAAAGAAACTGGACACACCATATTATTAGGGACATTTAAACCCAAATTGGAGGGGTGGACCGGGTCTGGTTGGGATGGAGTTAGTTTTCCTCATAGCAACCCACATATCACTGTGTTTTAGAGTTGTGACCAAAAGAGCATTGCTAACACACCAGTGGTTTGGCCATTGCTTACACAGAAGCTGGGAACTCCCTTTTGTGGGGAGGTGCAGAAGTGAAGGATTTTCCACGACTGGCTTTTATAAAGGGGCGGTAGGTCAGGGAACAGGTAAAGGCTTTGTCAAGGTCTATATCTTAAGTTGTATAGAAACAGGAAATTTTAGATTGCTGAATGAGCTAAGCAAATCTATTTTCCACCATTGTTAACAAGAACTGAAGTGGTCAGTAGAGCCCTTTAAAACCTATTTGTGAGAAGGACAGAGAAAGGAAAAACACACAATTATTTAAATTACAATGTAAGCTACTTAATATGGTTCAGAGGCTGACGGCAGATGTTGTCACCAACCTGTTTTCTGCAACAAAGAAAGAAGATATGGGGTCCCCTCTGCTGTTGGCCATCAGAACTTTCAGGCAGCTTCCAGTCAGGTAGTTAAATATACGAATCTTTCCATCAGCACAGCCGCTGATGACTCGGAGATAGAGGAACTCCAGGGAGAGAACTTCCCTGAAAACACGACATGTCAGTATTGGTACATTCATTATCTTTCACAGGCAGACACAATCAACCACCATGCCTCCATCCACACGCTAAACAAAGCAGCTCATTGAGATATTTAAAAGGCCTAGGAGCAAAGTCCCTCATAATCACTCCATGTCCAAATGAACCAACACGGTGCATCCTCAGAGCAACCAGTGTGTTTTATGGCCATCCGCTGTGTTTTAAATTTCATTTTTATGTCTAGGAAAGTAAATGAAAACAATATGATGCTACAGTTTTCACAGTTCTAATAAGCAATTAAAGTATTAGAAAATAACATAATATACAGTTGGTAGGGTTCAGCGTGTAAATCAGCCACCTCTGATATAGAGAGTGTCTTTTCTTGACCAGGTAGTGCCATACCCTCTTGCACATGGGTTGGGGTCCTTGAAGTATTGGACTATGCACTGTCAGTCTTAAGTCATCCCTGTTTGTGAAGAAGCAGTTGCATTTTAGATTGTTATAGGTCTTAACTGACAAACACTGGTTGCTACCACGTAGTGCCCAACACTGATTTAAGATGAAGATTGTTGAAAGTGGGGATATTTCAGATCCTAAGACTGATGATTAAGGCATTTTGTGATGGGAGACATTTTCTTTACAGATTTAGTAGACTGTTGAATACAACTTGAAACCCATCCAATTCCTACTTAGGGTGGCGGAAAGCTATTAGGCATCTCTTGAGGTTTCCCAACATGCTCCATCCCAGGGCGTATCCATCGGTGCTTCCCGTGACTAGGTGCCACTGATCAAAAGACAAGCACTTCACTGGGCCTTGGTGCCCCTCTAATGTCTGCAAAATAAAATAAATAGGTGCAACACTCAGCAACGTGGATGTAAATATGCCAACATATCTTACGGCATTCACAACACCAGCCTCATATTATATTGTAGTTCTATTGGATGATGTTGTAATATACCAATACACCCTATAGATAACTGTGTTAGTTTTATAGTCCCTTAGAAGAAATATTCTGGGCTTGTTGCTGATGATGAGCTACTGGCATGGAATTAACATCTGTTTTCCATCTTTATTACATGTGCGAAACAGATCTTGCCACACCGAGACCTTGGTCATCTGTTGAGTGTTCTCCCACTAGAGAAGCAACTGGACTGCCCTGGCTATAGTGGAAGGGGTGACTGCAAACCTCGCTCAACTGGAGGCTGGCTGTCTCGCACCCGAGATTCATCTTAATTTGCAGTTCTTCCCCGCAGGGAGAAAGAGCTTCACTCCTCTCGGATGTGGGCTAATACCAATTCTGGACACCTGCTAAGGTAATTAGCAGACTCTGGCCTCAATCTTTAATTACAGAGCAGCTATCCAGCTGCTTCAGCTTTATCAACCGGTTCTGACAGCAAGTTTCAGCTTTTGGGCTGATAGAGGATAACTCCAGCCCCAAGAGCTGCGGGTCCAGCCCTCCCACCCTCTTCCCAGGTTCTAAACATTTTTACAGGAGCAGAGATTAATGTAGCTGCAGAGAACAAGTAACGATGAGGGTTAAACAAGGCAAATCAAACCCTGGCTTAAAATTGACAGTGGTTTGCAAATCAGTTTTTATATTATTTGCTTACAAATAATTCTGCAGTTTCTTTTATCAGTTTAAGCTGCTTTTCATTTTGTTTCTGGAGATTTTTTTTTTTTAGAAATTCTTTGACAAAAGCAAAAAGCAATGGTAAACTGGCACAGAAGATTTTTTACCATTTTGCACAAAATCATCCACCTAAGAAGAAACTTACTTTGATCAGAGCACCTGTATCAGCACACCAGACTTTCACCAGCCCTCGGTCACAGCCACTGACAATGTGGGCACCATCCATTTTAACAACCCAAACAACACTGTTGTGCTTCAGAGTCTTAAGGCATTTCCCACTCTCCAGGTTCCACACTGTTAGGGGCAAAGGTGAGAAATATTAAAAATACACAGGCCCCAATGAAAATTTTTGCCGAGTACAATGTGAATTAGAAGATACTATTGAAATTACAGTTGTACCTTGTACCTGCAGCTCTGCATGTGGCCAAGTGTTGGCTTGAAAAATATAATTGTGCGGCAAAAATTTTAAAGTGCCAAGTCCAGAAAATAGCACATCCTTTTCTTCCTTATTCTCTAAGCTAATAATAAGGAAACCTCTGTTTCTGTAGAGGAGGCCCCATCCCTGCAAACATTCCAGGCCAGGTTGGACAAGGCTGTGAGCAACCTGATCTGGTTAAAGGTGTCCCTGCTCCCTGCAGTGGTTGGGGTTGGGTCCTTTCCAACACAAACCATTCTATGATTCTCTGACAAGGCTGAAAGTTGATACCACTTTTCCAAGAGTTGGTCTGGCCCTATAGCCACAAAGCCTTTAAAACCAAATAAAAGCAGAAATAATGAGAATTTATTTAATGACACAGAGACCTTGCGTGTGCATGCGTCCACAGTTGAGGCTGTTCTGGAAGCCAAAATATGAGACGCTAAATTTCACCCTCTGGTGTATAGACTTGCTTTCCTACCCACACGCAGCATGTGTCAGACCCATCACACCTCTCAAGCACCCTGCACATCGCTCGCTACTCCGTGCCTTTGGCTGGGAAGTGCTTGGCTCTCACCTTTCACCATCCCATCCCTGGCTCCTGACACGAGCTGCTCATTGTGTAAATCCAAGCAGGTGATCGTCCCACTGTGACCATTAAAGATTTTCACACAAGCACCACTGTATATATTCCAGCACCTACAAAGGAGCGACAGAAAAGGGAACACAGTCATTAACTTAACCGATGGCTTATTCATCTTACTCATTATTTCCCACTTACCAGGCCCAGCTCTTCTCCCATACACGCTAGGTTAAAATCAGGACTCATTCCACTAAGGTGTGGGAAGATTTGGAACAATCAAGTCAGGCTTAGTATTAAATTTTTACCAATATACTTTTGTTTTTCTGCCTCCAAACTGCCTGGAAACATGTGGCTAGATTTCACCTTTGGCATGGTTACCTTCAATTAACCTGAAAAGGCAAAGCTTTACAGATAAGGTTGTTTCTTTACTGACCAGTGACAAGATTATTTCTGTTGACTTTACCTAGAAAGCTCAAGCCTGCACTTAAACAAACAGCCCTTTTGGAATGGGAAGAGCAGGGAGAACAGAGCCTCACTCAACAAAAAGGTAGTTTGTACTAAATGAAAACTTTTAACACTAACTTTTTTGTTAAATTAAACTCTGATGAAAATGTGCGATTGCCATACCAGAGCCAGGTGACCTGCTGTTTAGCTTTTCACCCCTCATCATGATACATTTGAGCTGGCTGAATTTGAGCCAGCAGGGTGCCCAGGTGGCCAAGAGGGCCAGCAGCATCCTGGCTCGTATCAGGACTGGTGTGGCCAGCAGGAGCAGGGCAGTGACCGTGCCCCTGTCCTGGGCACTGGTGAGGCCGCCCCTCGAATGCTGGGTTCAGGGTGGGGCCTCTCACTCCCAGAAGGACCTGGAGGGGCTGGAGCGTGTCCAGAGAAGGGCAAGGAAGCTGGTGAAGGGTCTGGAGCCCAAGGCTGCTGGGGAGTGTCTGGGGGAGCTGGGGGTGTTCAGCGTGGAGAAGAGGAGGCTGAGGGGAGCCCTTATTGCTCCCTACAACTGCCTGACAGGAAGGGGGAGCTGAGGGGGGTCGGGCTCTGCTACCGGGGGACAGGTGATGGGACGAAGGGAAACAGCCTCCAGTTGTTCCAGAGCAGGTTTAGGTTGGACATTGGGAAGAATTTCATCCCCGCAAGGGCTGTCAAGCC